TCAAGTGGGACAACTGTCCAGATGGTGAGGGGGCTCGCCTGCCCCATAATCCAAACCTCGCCCCCCTCCACTTACCCAAAGCCCATCATCCAGCCCTCCCCCGCCCCTGGAGGACAGAGAGGGCATCTCTGGTTCCTTGCCCTGCTCAGTGCTGCTGAGATGGTCCTTTGCCTCAGATTCACCGTGAGACCTGGTGTGGGAGGCACGTTAGGGGCAGCGAACTTTGGGGCGGAGCGCCAGTGGGAAGGGCAGCGGGCTGCGGCGGCGGCAGGAGGGAGCTCGGGGGGGAAGGGACCGGGGACCTGGTGCCAGGCCTGGCCAGCCACCCGGGCGTGAGATGCCCTGTGTTCTTGTGCTGTCCCATCAGGGAAGCGAATGATGCAGCCACAGATCTTGGAGGTGAACTTCAACCCGGACTGTGAGCGGGCCTGCAGGTACCACCCGAGCTTCTTCAATGACGTCTTCAGCACCCTGTACCTGGACGAGCCCGACCACTGCCACGTCACCCGCCTGACCTAGGTGCTCGTGGCTCCGTGGTGCGTGCCGGCCCGTTCCAGCCTCAGCGCGCAGAGCTGCTTCTGCAGAGCCCGCTCCCCTCCTCCCTCAGGCGCAGCCTCGCCTTCGAGCTGTCATCCCCGCGCCACCTCCGGGGGCTCAGGGTCCTCTTCCCTCCGAGGTCAGGAGCAGGGCCAGTCACGGTGTCCCCAGGGCTGAGTGCCAGGCCCCTGTCCGCACTCCCCTCACCACCACCTACACTCAGCCGAGGGCTTTTCCAGAGAGTCCGGTTCCTGGGCTGCTGTGTTTCCCAGGGTGTTAGCCGATGCGGGTTCTGGGGAGCACAACGAGGTGTCCCCACAAACAGGTTTCCCCAGCAACACCTGTGGGCCCCACACGTGAACGGGGGCCAGGCGGACTGCTTCTCCAGAGTGTCTGCCCATGCGTCGAGTCTGCCCCGTGGCAGGGTGTCAGGGTCCCACCCCACACCCCTGCCCCCCGGAACACCTGGGAGCCTGCTTCCCAGACCCAGCCTTCTTCTTTCCCAATCTCAACCAAAACCTTCACCAGCAAGCTTCCCGTGAAGTTCCCACTCAGGAAGGCCGCGGCCTTTGGCTGCCGTCGCCTTTCCGTTTATGCAGAAGCAGGCCATCCTCCTGTCTGCGGCCCAGACAGAGCTTTCTCCCTCATCTGCCGTCGGCTGGGGCCTCAGGGACAAGTGGGGTGGCGGAGCGCCAGGCAGCAGGCCGCTGAGGAAGACAATTCTAGGGAGAACTTGACGTTACCGTCAGATGCTACCTTCCCCCAGAGCCTAGAGTCAAAATGTTGGATTTTTGTTCGTTTTTCATCGATGGGAGGAAAATATAAAAATTCTTATTATTTCCATAACTTTGTTTCTGAAATTTGGAGTCACATGCTGGTGTGTCTCGTGTAGCCGCAGTGCCCCCAAGCCCAGCTGACAGGCTGGTGGGCGAGCTTGCCCCCCGGGGTGGTGGGGGGGAGCTTGATTTCATTTTGAAGCCAAGAAGCAAAACGACTTGACCGTGCCTCCCATCCATGTGTCTGCTTGGCTGTGTCTGTCCATCTTCTCTGCCACCCGGAACCTCAGCTGTCGGCTGGGGAGACGCCCCTTCCCTGCAGCCAAGCTGAGGTGTAGAGAGCAGGACGCCTTGTCTCTGGTGTGCTCCCTGGGGAGCCGCCGGCGTCCTGTCCTCTCCTCGATGCGATCTGTACCGCAATAAAGTATACCTTCTTGACTTTGGCCTCCCTCTCTGTGTGGAGGCCCCGGAACCACAGGCCCGGCGCCATGTGTCAGCTATCTTCCTGTTTGGTTGTTGAAGAAAACCAAAATACCAAGACGTCCACTTGGAGAAACGAAAGAAGACGGTGGTTTGGCTGCCAGGTGTCCGTCTGGGTCCGTTAGGGCCGCGGTAACGGGATACCACAACTGGGGGGCTTACGCAACAGGAGTTCCTGCCTCAGGAGGCTGGGGTGTCCCGGGATCAGGGGGCAGCAGATTCGCATCTATAAGGGCCCTCTTCCTGGTTCACAGATGGCCACCCTCTCCCTGTGTCCTCGTGTGGGAAAGGGCAAGGGAGCTTTGTGGGGTCTCTTGTAAGGACACTGACCCCATTCATGAGGGCCCCACTCTCGTGCCTGATCACCTCCCAAAGTTCCCACCTCCTATGACCATCACACTGGGGATAGGATTCAACATAGGGACTTAGGGGAACACTCAAGACCACAGAAGGTTCCTTCCCCAAAGTGGGATTCCCCCCGCACTGGTTCCATTTCAGAGCAGAACGCAGCGGGGACAAATGTGGAGCCGGGGTGCACCTCGACATCATGGGCAGTGCCCAGGAACCTCGTCATGCACGCACTGCTGGGGCCTCAGGGAATGGGATTCTCTTCGTGCCTGTTTCCTCACCCTGAGGGTAGGGGTGATGGGAGACCCTAACTGCTCTTAGGGCAGCCAGAGGGTCCAGCAGGCGGATGCAGAAGGGGCGTGAGTGCTGTTAGCCAGCACAGTGAGGCCCCCTGGCGGTGGGCAGAGCCCCCCCCCCACCCCCAACGTGCCATCTGGACATGCCCTGCAAGGGACCTCCTGTGCCCCTCAGGACAAGCACTCACACCAGGGTATTCATCCAGATGCCTAACAGGGATAGTGGGCCTGCTCGTTTCCAGTTCACTTGAAACCCGATTACCCAGGATACTCTGAGCAGGCATGGCTGCGATCAGGGGACTACATGATCCAGGCTCTCCTTAATTATAAGCGGGCTTTTCCCCAATTCTAGATGTCCTTGCACCTCTCATCAGTGGAAATCAGACATTGCCCCCCAAGGAAGGTCATCAGGCAGGGCCCTCACCGTCCCTGAAGACCATACTTGCGGTGGAGACGGCTCTTACCCTTGAAAGTACTTCTTTCTGGTACTGTCTTCACTGGAGTCACTTCGTGTTGAGAATTTTTTTTTTAAAGACAGAGTGCGTGAGTGGGGGGAGGAAAGATGGAGAGGGAGAAGCAGACTCTCTGCTGAGCAGGGAGCCCCACACAGGGTTCGATCCCAGGACCCCGGGATCACGACCTGAGCCAAAGGCAGACGCCCAACAGACCGAGCCACCCAGGCGCCCCTGTGTTGAGAATTCCTTAAAGTTTAGAATTTGTAAGAGTTGGACGCCTAGAGTCAACCAGGAGTTACAGCCACAGCATTAATTGTACCAAAGTTCTACAGAACCACACAAAACAAATCCAAAAGGTAAAGCTTGAGATGCTGATGGTGAAATTTAGAAAGATTCTCTGTGATGATCCGTGGCCACATAAACACCCCCAGACGGGGCGGCCCTTTCCTGGAGAGGCACCAGAGATCCACAGGGGCCGATGACAACGTTAAAGTGCTCGGCACACGCCTGAGCGTCCCTGCCGACGGCCGGCCGAGCCCTCCTGGGCTGTATGAGTGACCTTGTCTTGCATCCTTTATGGCCAGTCTGCTACAGAGGGAAGCAAATGCCCAGATTTAGGACTTCAAGGGCAGGAAGGAGCGCAGACCAGAAGGACTTGACAATCCATGAGGTATGGATTTTCCTATTAAACTGACGTGGACACTGTCAGAAGCCTGACGTTCCTAGTGGATGCCAAAGCTCAGAAAAAGAGAACCTGGTCTACTTATGAAAAACGGGGACGGGCGGAGAGCATCACAAGAAAGCCAGCCAACACAATGGCAAAGTACATCTGTCTCTCACCCATTTTTGTGGCCGGGAGGAAGTATGTGGGATATTGCCGGAGATGAACGAAGCCACAAGCAAATGCAAGAGACAAAAGCCTGCACGAGGATCCCAGAAGTCTCAGGCGCACTTAAGTGCTAAGTACAGCACATCTAGGGGGCACACGGGGGGCCTGTGATGACACTTCAGTGCCCCTCCCCCCGACCATCTTGGAGAACTAAAGAAATAATAAAAAGGATGCTCAGAGCATCCCCCATCAGAGCCTCTGCCCTGGGGAGCATCCGAGAATCCGCGGGAGGAGCTGACCGAGGTGCGCAGGCTTCCCGCAGAGCATCATCCGCCCGGCATCCAGTTCCAGCGGAGGTGGAGGTGACAGCCCCTGCGAGAGAGCCGCCCCTTCTCGCCGAATGCGGCCAGCTGTCTCTCCCGGAGCTTTCCTACCATTGTAACTGGGTCCTGTCTGTGAGGAGAGGGCAAGGGGACGGGGCGCGCCCAGAGCACCCGGCCTGCCCAAATGACAGAGCAACACTCGTGCCCGTGTGAGTGATCGACAACCAAAAACAAAACAAGCCGCCAAAGGCCGGCAGGTGCCAGCGCCCCGGTGCCAGGCGGCCCGGAATGTGGGAGCGCGAAGCTGGAGCCGAGGTGTCGCCCCAGCGGGAGCCTGCCCGCACGACAGGCCTCTGCCAGCCTCCCCCTCCCCAGCAGCTGCCTGCAGAGGACCTGGACAACCCAATTCAAAGCTGGGGGTGACACCTCCAAACGTGGGCAGGCCTGGGCCTGTGAGGGGCTGTGGTCTCCGGGGCCTGGACACGGGCCCTACTGCCGATTGGTGTTTACGGGGCTGCCCCCGGTGGAGTGAGGCTGGCCTGAGTCCCAGCACCCGAGGGGCAGGTCGGGCAGTGTCCCCAGCTCTGGGCCCAGCCCCATCCGAGCCAACGCCAGCTGAGGGCCCTGAGGTGCCAGCCCAGGCCGACTGCGGGCCCACACCGTGCGCTAAGATTCCTGGAGGCTGAGAGAGTGGATAGGACCGAGCTCTGGGCCTGCCGCCCGCCTGTCTTAGCAGCATCATAGCCAGGGTGTGTGCTCCGGGTCGAACCTGGGCTGCTCCAATCCGGGGCAGGCCACCTCACCTCTTAGGGGGTCTTGGGAGGGACCCGAGAAGCACAGGTAAGCGCTGACCTGGTCCAGCCTCATCTGGAGGATGCAGCCCAGGCAGATCCAGCAGTAGGATGAGCGCCCCTCCCTCCCCGCGGCCAGGGGTCCCACCCAAGTAAAAAGGCCACTGCCAGGAGGTTAAAAACTTTATTTCGCTTCTAACCTTCCGTGTTCCGAGAGCATGCTTGGGGCAGTGCGGAAAGCGCAGGACGCCGTTTCTGGGATAGAGGCTCGGCCTGGGGCACTTCTGAAGCTGGTGGTGACCCCCGGGGCTGAGACCCAGACAGACCCGCAGGCCGGAAGGCCATGGAAGTATAAGGGCCACCACCCGGGCAGCACCTGATCGGCAGCAGCTGCGGTCCTCAGAGGACGGGGCACTTTCATTCGGCGAGCCGACGGCCACCACGCCAGCCTTGGTTGTCCCGCCATACACAGTAGTTGAGTGTGGCTGCAAAGGCCAGCCAGGCCAGGTACGGGTAGAGCAGGCGGGCGGCTGGTGGGCTCACCCTGTGCCAGGCCACAGCCGTGGCTCCTGCCAGCCCACCCATCAGCAGGAGGTCCACCAGCGCCTGCAGAGACACAGGGCGGCGGGGACAGGGAGGCCTGAGGCTCCTTGTACTCACCGGGTGCATGTCCCAGCTGGCCGCTCATGGGGTGCACTCAAGGGAACACTCTATTCCACCCCCCCCAAGTGACCCCGTCAAGTCCCTCCCTTGGTCTCTGCCTCAGTTTCCCCTCTGTAAAATGGGAACAATCACCCCGGCCGGATCCATGCCATGTGAGGGATGCATGGCACCAGGCGTAATGTTTTCCTATACGATGGCCCCTCAACCAAGCTGGCAAGCCTGTCTGGTTCTGTGAGAACCCTGCAAGCTCCCTTCATCGGAGGAGGAGCAGCTGCGGGCTCCACGGGAGGCCACTGGTCCCCTAAAAGCTTCTGAGAGATGCTGACCACGAGCCGTGTGCCATCCCCGCCCCTGGATCTTTAGACCCTCACCCCATCTAGGATGTGATGCCCTCTGTCCCCCAAGGAAGGGCTGCTCCTCCACAGGCCATCTCCAGGGACCAAGAAGACTGGCCAAGACCATACTTACCCAACCCATTTGTCGGCTGCCAAAGAAGAGGGGAGGCCATGCCCAGTTCAAGGCCAGCTGCCCAGCATAGAGACCCAGGGGAACCACAGCCTCCTCGGAGAAGCCCCCCAGCTCTTTCCAGACCATGTAGGAGCCATACCTGAAACAGAGGCCACCAGTCAGGGCACCAGCAAGGAAGAGACCATGTTCACCTACGGGACAACACAGTGGTGGCTCAGGCATGTTCTGCCACCGACCGTTCTGTGACCTCAGGGAACTTGCTTGACTTCTCTGGGCCTTCACCGCTCCCAGGATTGCTGTGGGGATTTGCGTTAACACCCTGGTGGTGCTCAGGTCAGCGCCTGGCACGTGGGACACTCAGTAAATATCTACCATTATTATCATCAGGGCCTGGAGAGGAAAGCATACGAGTGAGAAACAGGCTCCTAACCTAGCCAGGGGCGCCCGCACAGAGGACAGGACATTTCGGCTGGGCCTTCGAGGGTGAGTAGGAGTTTGCTAGGGGGAGAAAACAAGCATCTGCACATACTTAGGGGCAGGTGTGAGCCCCTGAATCGGCCTGTGGGCCTGGAGGGTGAGGTCTGGGGGCGCAGCAGAGAAGTGAGGCTAAAGAGGCAGATGGGGACCTGGTCATGGGGGTTCTCAGAACCACGAGGGCAGCAGTAACACCATTGACAGGAACAGCTAGTGTCCCCCAGCACTTACACATGCAGGCACTGCTCTGGCTCTTTCCAAGTATCAGCTCATTTCATCTTCATGATAATGCTGTGAGGCGGGCAGTATTATCACCCCCGTGTTACAGGTGGGGAAACTGAGGCACAGAGCAGCAAAGTGACGCAGATCTCTTGGCAGGCAACCGGTAGGTAAAGGCAGGATTTGAACCCAGGTGGCCAGGGCCAGAGCCCAAGCTCTTTACTCCATGAGAGATTTGACTTATCAGGGTCACAGGGAGCCTCCGCAGGGTCCCACGAAAGAGAGACTAGGGTCACATTTGGGCTTTATCAGGATCGCACTGGTGGAGGAAAGCCAAGAGGGAGTGGGCAGGCCTGGAGGCTGAAGCAAGGAGAGGTAGAAACAGTGGTGCCTGGGCCGGGATCGGGGAGGAGAGAGCAGGACACAGGAAGAGCTGGGAGCCTGGCTGGGCAGGGCCCGGGACTGGCTGGGGGTGGTGCCCACGAGACACCCAGGTTGTACGGACTGTCTTGTTCCCATCAGAACCCGGAGGCATCCAGCCTGGCTTCTGCTACCTGCTCCCTGGGCGCCTGGCATCTGCAGCCCCACCCAGTACTGGGCTGGCATAGACCCAGGATGCAGGGAACCTTCCAGAAGGAGGGCAGGGAGCTGGCCTCATCTGTGGATGCAGTTCCCACTGGGGCCACCAGGGGGTGCCCTCCCCCGCCCAGCTCTTCCTTTCCTCTGGGGCAATGGCAGGGGTGTAGTCCCAAGGCTTCCTGCAGGAGGCCCCTTGTCCAGTGGGTTGTCTTGAAAATTAACCAAGACCCTGGCACTGAGCGGATGCTCAACAAGTGGTAGCTACGAGAATTGTTACTGCTGCTGCCACTATTGGTCTTGGAGGCTGCCCAGGTCTGAACTTGAAACGCGGAGCCCGCCTCCCCGCGGAGTTTCGAAAAGAGCCAGGGTGCCAGCGCCAGCTCCGGCCCGCCCCTCCCC